TAATTATTATTTTATCTGAATGTTTGTATTTATTACTTTTCTTGAAATAAAATAGTAATAACTCTGCCAATGAGTCTTATTTAATACTATTATTCATAGTGCATACTTATTCATAATGCAAATCCATATCGATACAGCTATTTATTATAGACTTATTCAATAAATTAACCTTTGAAAAAAACTAGTTTTAATAAATGGATATTGAATTCGTTGCTACAAAATTGAAAAATTAATTTATTTAGAAGTTCTGTTTAGATCATTGAATTGGTAGAAGAGGCCAATTGAGTCGCCTGCAAGGTCTCCAAATTTGATTCCAGTCAATTTTTTCTTATTGAATCAAACTGTACTCCACTTCGCAAGAAACTTTGGAAGTTTTGTGAGAATTTCTGAATTTGAATATTTGGTTTAGGTACTTTTGTGCTTTTGTATTTTTAGTGTTGGTAAAGAACACATCGAATTACTCATCAGTGGATGCTTCAAAGTGGCAAATTTTTGTTCACCGTAAAGACGCTTATTAATTGACGCTTAGCAATTCGTCCGTTTAAGTATTCAACAATAGAAATATTTAAAGTTGAAAAAAATAAGCCTGCAATTAGTTTCTGATTGATCTCCATGATAAAGAGAAAAATTAAGGGCACCCCACACGCCAACGCGACGTCGATCCATGAACCGGGTGGAAATTTCTGAAAATATCTGTTATTGAAAAGTCTACCATACTTCTACATCAATACTTGCTTAGTACGATCATTTTTTTCATCCATGTGGTTCTATATTTCAGATTTCATATATTTAAATTACTTTATATACCTATTCAATTATTTAAATAAAGTGCGTTATTATAAAATACGTAACACTGATTCTGTAGCTCTTTATAGCATCCAATATTCATCATGTTTCTCCTTCACTTGCTCAACGATGTTGGTTTTTCTTTTCAGAGTTGAAGGTTCTCGATAGAAGATTCTGTGTTTATTAATGCCTTAAACTCGCTAACTACTAATAAAATGTTAATCGAAAAAATTGTTCCTAATTCGGTTCGAAATACTAAAAGATAATAAAAAAAAACCGTTTGGATCTGAATTCGTGTAAACTCGGCACTGGTAACTACTAGTGACAAAAATGCGTATTCTAACTTATTTAACTTCAGCATATCAAAGCAAGACTAAATAGTCATCGTGTTTGTAATCTGAAACTTGTATTATGTTGAAAACACGCATCTTAAACTTGTGTGAATTGAACTATTTTTATCCCTTAATCCACAGAGCTGAGATTATAAAACCACCCCAAAGTAATTCGTATTTATGTATTTATTATCCAACATATTCACTTACCTTTTCCATAATTAGTCAGGGCCTGCAGAATGATTTGGGTATAATAAGTCACTTCGTTTAAATCGTACACCCAGTTGGCAAAACGAAACTGTGCAGCATGGTACCTAAATTAAAGTAAAAGACCTGGATTTAGTCTCGATGAAAAGTGAATGTGAAAAGTACTCCAGACAACGAATACAAAATGTATCAAATTACATAATTGCATCAAAACAGATTACCTTCTGAATTTTACACAACTTTTCAATTCATCAAAAGAGTTCAAATTCCATTTCCTTTTACTTTTTAGTGCTAAAAGTTGTGTGTTTTCTAAGGGAGGCTTAATTGGCGGGTCACCCAGAATTTTAACTGTTACGAGTCTAATTCTTCCTATAAATGCAATCAATATAGTTAAAGCCGATCGTTTAAAAATATTATTACAGCCTTACCAGCTACATTTTCCACATTAGAGGATGATATTCTCTCGCATCGTTGTCGCCCCTTCGCCTTAATATGTAACATATTATTTCTTAGGCTGGTTTCGAAAATTTCCATCGTAACTCCATACTCTATTAAACCTTTATCAGGGGATCTGGAAAGAAGTAGATATTAAGTTTACACGATGCAAATCAATATGAAAGTAGTAGAAGTTAACTTACTTGGCACATAGCAACACAAACACGTTATTATGCTCATCGATAAAATTCTTGAAAACTCTATTTTCGAAATAATCGTTCATTACTAAGGGAAGAGTGAATCCGGGAAAGACTAAAGTGTCAGTAAATAGTGCGAAAATGTTATGTAATACCTCGCCATCCTCAAATAAAGTGTATCCACTTAGAGGGTTTAGTTTCCCAAGATACTAAAAATTGAATAGAAAATTATGTGAATCTGTTTTGAACTATGAACTGATGCTATTTCTATCAATATCAAAATAAAAAAAACCATTACGAAACGGCAAGTCACTGTAATACAAAAAATATATTTTACATTAAAATTTAGTTAGAAGAGTGATATTACACGAGGTAAAATTGCCAAAAAAATCTTGAATTTTTGAACGCCATTTGGGAAATAAGTCCTGCTTGTTGTAAAACTAAGTATACACAAAAACATTTAATTTCGGGTTATAGAAGAGGTTTATAAATAAATTAGTATAAATCGTTACCAGCCAAGGCCCTTCATTTTTCAAGATACGGATTTTTTTTTTAAGTTGAAGGCAAGATGTTTAGAATTTTGTTGTTACGTTTCAAGTTTGAAGAAGAATATAACAGTTTTTTTTTAATCACAAAGATCAATGGCCTTGTTTGAAAGATTTGCGGTGCCGCTTTGGGTGGTGGTTATAGCGAATAAATACTTATCATCAAATAATATACATATTGTTATCAGATGGTTTATGTAGACACCTGACTAGCAATTATTTTCAACATTTTACTCAACTAATAAGGTCCAGAATAGATAACCCCGAATTAACAAATTTTTGTATTCCTTGGTTTTACAACAAGCAGGATTCAATCTAGATTCAAAAATTGAGAAAAAAAATTGTCAAGTTTACCTCTTGTTACGTCTATCCTGGGACACACTGCATATTTGGTGATTCAAAATAGGCATTATTCCTTTCAAAGAGTTACTGGAGCGCACTTGAAACGTGCGGAAATAATGTTTTAAAACATTTCAGTTTATTTTACAAGATATTAGCTCTTGCACGTTCAACTTTCAGATTAATCTTTTTTTTTTCAGTAGTTAATGATTCAAAACATTCATTTAGCTAAATATTACAAATACAGCATTGCAATACTTACTAAACCGCAGACAAAATGTATATTTGGAGAAATAACGATTCTACACATTTTTTTATGGAAAATTTGGACGGCAACCAAGTCGATCACATTTCTACATAACAGACGCGCGAGAGGGATTTGTTTAATAATTGATTATTTTGACAAACTTAAAGCTGTTGAAGAAAATGAAAGTGGCCTCAATTGGACAGCTGATTGTTCAAGTCATACTACAGGAAGCATAGTTTCAGCAATTTTGACTTTGATACAAGCAAGCACTAACAATAACCATGAAAAAACATGTACATTTGCGTAGAATTTCATTGACCTCCAACTTTTTGTGCAACTTCAACTAATAGTTGAACACGGGCTAGATCTCGATCATTCTATCACCTTCTTCCAGCAAAAAACTTTCATTTGAGATCAAGATGGGACCAGCAAAATTCAGGAATTATTATAAGCAATGAAAACTGATGTTGTGTAATGACGTTGAGCAATTATATAGTAAAACTCATTTAATGAGGGTATGAATTGAACATTCTTTATTTCGAAATATTTAACTCTTCTTAACTGATTAAAGGGTGAACTTTTAGGTCCATCTCGTTTTTCAATTTTGCCTTTAATTTTGCTGTCTGCTATCTTTACTGTTTAACACATAAAGCAATTGATATTTACGTATTTTTAATGAGAAAGTCATGTGGAGGTGCAATAAAATGTAAAAAATAAATTTTTTGCTAAAGAAATTACGCCAATTTTGAATCACTTTGTAAATTCAATATTCATGAAAATGTGAATGTATTCTTACCCCATGAGTTGTAGGCAAATCCATATCATATTCTCCAGTTGAAATATTCACTAACCCTAAATCGTCATCCCCTATAAAACAAAACATAAGGAATCGCGTTTTTGAAATGCAATAAACCACTAACTTGAAAATGGGCACATTTCAAATATTTATACTATAAATATACAATCGGTACAATCTACAAATGTAAATTCAATAAGTTGAACCTACAACTTATTGTTTACTTGTTTAAATTGCTATAATCACAGTGATTTATAGCACAATTTTTTTAAATTGGATTTAACCAACAACACTTCTTATAAAGTCTTCGGATAATTAATTGGACGCAATCGCAAATAGAAATTGTAGTTTCAGTTTTCACTTGAATGTTTAATCTTCGATTTTTAGCTACAATTCCAACATTAATTCAAGTTCATAGTACAGATTTGTGAACATTCAACACCTTCAGACTCTGGAAGCTGTTCTTAACCATACAAGAGCAACTTAACAGTATCCAGTTAATATTAATGACACATTCGCCATTGTAGCCACTAAAACATTAAATGCAGCTTTGTGGCAAATTATGTTAATTAAATGTTGTTAAAAACTACAAAATGTTCCGTTTATTAAAATTAAATAGAACTTTCTGTATTAAACTGTTCCGACATAACGTAATTTCGAATGAAAAAAGGCGCGATATGGTTTGTGTCTATGCATAAGAAAATTTTAAATGCTGCAGAAGACTTCCGAACCAACAATTAACATTTTTTTATACGACAAACATTTATTTATCGGGTTAATAAATGTATTTGAGAATGATTATGAAATAATCATTCTCAAAGACTTTACTGAGTTTAAAAAGTAGTTTGAACTAATTCTTAACGTACGTAAAAAACAATGTTTAATGTTTGTTAAATTTTGTTTAATTGAAACTTTGAGTAGAATATTTCTTTTATTTAGAGATCCAATTTGAGTTATTTTGTTCAAACAATCACTAGAAATTTCAATAAGAAATATCTCGAAAACGGTGAGAGATATGGACTTGGAACACGAACACATATTTTGTTTAGAAAATATCGGAGAATGAGGCATTGTGTACAAAAAAGCTATATTTTGTAATACAAAAGATGTCTAATGTTTTAAATGGCGTCAGACTAATGCAGCTAGCGCAACAAAAATTGTTTGGTAATAGCAAAACTGCTAAATAATCTATTAATAATAAAAAAAACATTTTATTTACACTTAGACACAATTTTTCTCGAAATCTGTTAATTTTCGGCGAAGACAAATTTGCATGAAACGCAATATTTATGTCTAAACATGCCAGTAAATTTAGTCACGTTCGTTGAAGACCCTGTGGACGAGACCCATAAAAATTCATAGATTATCTCACTTAAAAAATATTTTCATACAATTTCAACAAATTATGATGTCGCTTAATACTTGATTTTGTAACGTATTGCCATCACGCTCTTACTTTACTGCAATCAATTAATTTTCAAGCATTCTATTAACATAGAAAGCAGATAGTTTCACTTTTATAAATAAAAACTGAGAACTGTACAAATCTATATGTATATTGATTCCACTATTCTTTTCTGGACGGTTTCTTGAAGATAAAACATTCAGTTTTTGTACCCTTTTTTGGAATTATTTCAGTGGCAATCTTATTCCCAATTACGTTTTCTACGCTAGGGAGCGCATCTGCTGTGTAAAAACGAGTTTCTATTTTAAGGACGAATGATCAGATGGACTTTTAGGTATGAGTGTGTCTCAGCTAAAAACGGGATTGTTTTTTTTTATTTCATATGGGTCGTAGACCTGGACGAAGTTGATTTTAGTGTAACCTGACCGGTTAATGAAAGAATACCTGCGACTTAAATTCCGCCAGATTCTCTAGTATTAAAAAGGCCATGAGAAAGACGCAAAGCAATGCATGCGGAGCGAAGGTAATTATTAAGTCGCTCAAGAAGGGGATGAAACAATCGGACATTTTTATGTCTGATCATACCATCGGATTTTACCTCATCATTATACATTTCTGGCATAACACCCAAGAATCAGAACCAAAAACGGCGTTCAATGAATAGCGATTCCAAAAGCGATGAGGTTTTCCAGCGCCCCTTCGATCGATTTCATCTAATTTAATTAGAACCCGTGATGAAACTTGGGTAAATCATTACACTTCAAAGTGAAACCAGGTGAATATGGAGTGAAGAAAAAGCGGTTAACGAGAGCCAGTGACGCCTAAGACTCGCTTGTCTGGCGGACATTTAATAGCAACTGATTTTTTTATCGGCAGAGTACTTTTCACATCGTTTTTTTCTCCAAGATCGAAGCACACTACGAAACACGCAACCAATCAAAAATGTAATTCTTCCTCAGAACAAAACCAGGCCTGATGCCGCAAGCCCCACAAAGGAGAAATTAGACAAATTGAGCTGGGAAACGTTGAAACATCTTTCTGCCGTCCAGATTTGTCCCCTCGTGACATTCATATGTTTGGACCCTTGAAAGAAGCGCTTAAAGGACAGAATTTTTGTGCAGTGGCTGCATAAACATCCGAACATTTCTGCGCAACGAAAAAGTTTGCAGTCCGCTTGGAATACTGTTTTTCTAGGAGATTATGTAGAAAAATAGTATGTGCAATACCGCAAAATAAAGCACCAATGAAAAACAACTAGCCCTGTTTATAATTGACACACCATCGTAGTTCCAACAGTGTTTGGGTGGTTATATCAAATTAATTGTTTTTTTTTGCTTTAGTAAGCTGACAACGTTTTGGGGTTTTATTATTATAATACTTTACTTTAAGTATACTTTAATGGAAAATTAAAAACAACGCGAGACTTCGACAGACATAAACTCCATGAGCGTATTAGCCGTATTATTAATCTTATTACCAGAACTGCTCTCTCCTGCAGGAGAATTGGAGTCTGTGATATGACCATTTTCCACTTCGGCCAAACCATTTTGATCATCCTGATCACTGTTTGGAGCCTCACGATCTCCCATTATTGATCAATTACAAACGCTAGAAATTCAGTATTCAGTGCTTCTACCTTATTTAAACTTCGCACAAAATAATCAAAACACAAATACAGGATCTTCTATATTCAATATTGACTGTAAACAGATGATCTGCATGACATTCGCATAGTGTGAAACCAACTTTCAGCCATCTGTGTCGCCCTCTGTACCACAGACGTGAGTACTACACATGAAAATAAAGAACAGGGCCGCACTCTAGACCATTTATTTTCTAGTTTTACTCAATTGAAATTATATACCCACTACATTTTAATTTTGGATAATTTTCGTGTTTTTTACTTTTGTATTATGGTGGTATATATGTGTAGTTTGACAATTAACAACAGATTTGTAGAAAAATAAATCGGCAAGTTTGAAAAAAGTATTAAAGCTTGAAGTTAAACAAAGAAAATATGAAGAGAAAAAACATAAAATAATACATAAAATACAATAATGAAAATTTTAAAAAACTACGAGCAGAGGTCAGGCGATAAATTGAGTAACTTAAAACTGGTTTGTTTCAACAATAAATAATACAGTCCACGAGCTATACTAGATATCTTTATATTTAGGATCTGGTTCGTTTCTACATATCACACTAATCCTTCGGTCCTTGAGTACTTTTTCACCTTTAAAAATACTGTTGTCGTTGCTCAATATTTCATGGGTATAATCAAATCGAGCAACACCTTTCATGATGTACAGTGACCTTCGCTTGAGGAATAAGTCAGCGTATAGATTTTTATTTTTATCATGAACTAGCCTCATTACACTATCAGTTAGAAGACTTAATCCAGCTATTGTATTCCCACAAAACTGCAAATAAATAAATCCTCAATTTAATAAAAATATCAACTATACAGGATGATTTACGTAGGCTGCATGCACCCATATGCTACCAAATGGGAGATCTCTCTAGAAGCTTAAGATCATATGGAGAATTAGCTTGGGCTTTCAGGTAACTACCTACCGAATTTGATATTTGAATACAGAACCGTTCCTTAAAAGCTGGGTCCGGTTCCGTAAACATGTGTAATGGATTTTTTTTCGGAAAAAAGAAAACGAAAGAAGGAAATCTAAGTTCATTGTGTATAGAACATCTACAGTGAAATCTCCGTAAATTTAATGTTAAATATTTCTATTTTTTGCGAAGAAATAAATTACTTGGAGTGTCTCTTAAATCATGTTGTAGATCGTGAACTAAGGGTAATGGAATTCATTTATAATGCATTAATATAGAATTTTGTTGAAAGACATGTGATTACGCGGTCATTAATTGAAACTGGTTTGTCGATGAGAGTCGGAAGCATTGATAAAGAGTTTTTGTCTGACGTTTGGCACGCCTGCATGAGTGACTCGTATATTCATTTCATCATGCAATTTCTCGAGCGTAGTCGGTGTTTCGTCATCACAAATCACAAGCTCTTCCTTCATAAATACGTATTATTTCCGAGAAGTGGCATCAGTCAAGTGTAAGGATTCGAGCGAAAGCAACTGTAAAGATGTGAGACACTAGTACTTACGAAACGCCAGGCAATAATTCTTGCATCGACGGCCTAAAAGCTATAAAAATTCACCTGTTTTCAGCATATTCTATGTCTTTTCTAACCATAATAGTGGAAACACAAAACCAATTCTTATATTTATGATTGTATTAATTAATCAACTCTTAACATTTGAATTTCAGTTGAAAAAAAAACTTGAGTCCTGTAAAGAATCGGACAGAAAACATTCAGAACCTTTTATGCTAATCGGATTTGTATCCTTTGATTTAGATTACGTGGAAAGGATTTTTGTATTTCATCCATTTGATCTAATTAAACGATGGTGGTGGAAATGTTGTTCGGAAAAAAGGAAGCGTTGTTCGCTCATACTCGTAATGTTGTTTAGGAATTTTTAGTGCCAGAAAACACACATAAATAGAAAATGTTTCGGTCAATTGAGATGACTTGGTAAAATGCACAGCAACTGTCAACATTATCCAAAGCAATAACAACAAACATCAAACCTCGGTCTCGCTCGGTGGACAATAGAAAAAGAACGACAATTAATATATTTCTTGGCAATCGCATTTTCGTCAATGCACCGTCGCACCTTGCTATAAAACCAAATTTCAAAATCGTGTAAACTTTTTTCGTTAAATTTATGGATATCCTAGATTTTTCCTTGCTAAAGCTTACTTATCACCAGCCGTAATCGATGCAAAAACCAAAAAAAAAAAAGTTATCGATATCAAAAAATTATGGTAGTTTTAAGTGATCCGGGCCTTGGCCTGTCCCGTTTTTTTAGCGAAAATGAGGGTTTTCACAACTTTTCACTCATTGAAATTCACTGTTTTTTCCATAAGACAAGAACAAAAAACTAAACTTTTTGTTATTAAATAAAACATATTTTTTATTATTACGCATATTGGGCAGATACGCCCCTGTTCGCTTATAACGTCAAACAAGAATGGAAGTAAACGCAAATGTTAGGTTATCCTTCGTTTACCGCGTGCAGTAGCGAAAATAATCGTGAGTTTTGCAGCAATGGCAATTTCTAGTGGAAAACGGAAAAGAGTTTCAAAAAAGACAAAATTCGCATGGCGAAAACACAGCAATGTAGCGGACATACAGGAATTTTTACAAGATAAATGGGACGAGGAAAGATTGGGAGCCCCTCTGGAAACTGTACCTAGTGATGAAATATTTGTTCTTGATACAACATCTAAGCAGGCCCAAACCTCCCAAACTTTATCACGCCAGCAACGTAAAATAAACGCCTCTCGGCCGCTTAAAGGGTTTTCGGCATTACAGCCTCATACCCAAGTGCCTGACCCAATCAAAAAGAGAAACCGTGTGAAAACGCCAGAGGAGAGGAAAAGTGCCCTAGTTAAAGTCGCTTTACAAAACAACATACAGAACGGAGTATTTCCCTACAAGTATGTAAATGCTCTTGAGGAAAGAAGGCTTTACGAACTTAAAAAGGAAAAGAAAGAAAAAAGGGGAGAATTTCTGAAGGACATCTGGTCAAAGAACCAGAATCATTCAATTCAGAGTGACCCATGGGCAAACCCTGTCACAAAGGTTCATAACTTAAGGAATACAGGTAAGTCGAAAAAAACAACCAAGTGTCGTACATTTCCAACATGAAATTTTTAAGGTATCCCTGTTAAGAAAATAGCCAATGATCTGCAAAAGAAGAAAAGCCTTCTACCTGCAGTTGAACCACCCCATCCAGGCATGTCATACAACCCGTCCTTTAAGGATCATCAAGACCTACTCAGAACAGTAGCCGAAGACGAAAACAAAATTATCAAAGAAGAAAAACACATAATAAGGTAAGAACGAAGTCTACCTACTTCTTACAGAGCTGAAAATATTAACATAAAATTCTTAATCTGCTTAGGGTAACAAAAGATATGTTCAGGAAGATTTCCAGTACGGAAAAGACAAATGAATGGATTGTCGAAATGTCCGAAGGTATGCTATCTAATTCCAACGAAGAAATTGTAGACACTAAAGTCAAAGCAGAATCGGATGACGATGAAGGCCTAATATCGTCTGGCATTAGCGTAAACCCGCCAGTTCAAAACAAAAAGAAGAGTGTTCAACAAAGGCGGAAACAGCGCGAGCAGCTTGATCTGGAGAACCAAAAAAGGGCGCTAAAACGGGAAAAAAAGAAAATTGGTGATATTCACAAAATCAAAGTTCTGCAAAAGGACCTTCAGCTGGCTGAGAAAAGGCAGGCAAAGTTGCGTGAACTGAGGAAAATTAATATCGAGAAAAACAAGTTGAAACCGAAAATGTTAAGTGCTACCAAATTTGAGGATCTTGGACCAGATTTTCAGATGGGACAGGACATTTCCGGAAATTTGAGAGCCGTTAAAAAAGAAGGTAGTTTGCTTTTGGATCGCTTCAAAAGTCTCCAAAAGAGAAACATCCTGGAGCCGTCTAAAAAGGCACACACCAAGAAGCCTAAAGTGAAGAAGTATACAAAGCCCGGATTCAAAGAAGACTGGGAAAAAACTGTTGCTAGGAAAGGCGCCATAACAAAGGGCAAATAATAGTTCCATTATGTGTAATTTGGTGATATATTATAAAGCGGTAATTCCAACTCTGTGTTTTCTTATTGTTAATGCCATTATACACTTCTTCCAAGATAACGGAAGCAAGAAATTTGAAGCGAATATCCGAGATGAAAAAGAAGGAATAAGTTAAATAATTAAATGAGTAACAAAAGGGCGCTTTGATTCGAATTTCTTATTTATTTGAGAACAAAACGAAAACATCTTCAAGTTTCAATTAAATGAATTTAATACCCCCTGATCAATTTTTGACTATGATATTTCATTTTGAAGATACTATCAATGTCTTCGTTCATTCACAGTGTTTGCGTATTTCATAAAACATTTTTCGTCTCAACGCCAAATGCATTATAATCAAAAAATATTTCTTGTCCTGTGGGTTTATCGAGGAATATTTGTCATGTGTAAAAGCAATACACTAGTAAAATAATTCTGAATTTGTGTAGGTATTTGTCTAATTGAAATTAACCATAATAATAACAATATACTGGTTGACGTAGAGTTCTTGATCGTAATCATTTTGCTTAAATAGCCAAACTCCTGAAATAAGACTTATTTTATGGACTATTATAATTTACATAAAACCATGAATATGAAAAACAAATTCCAGCGAACCCGCAAGCTTCAAAAAATCACACAAGAGACATGAAAGTTTCTAAATGAAATCCAGATTAGAAATAATTTCATGCGTTTAATAAATTGAAATGCAGTCCGAGCAAGTCTTTCCAATATTAAGAATATTTCAAAAAATGTTAGCCTGCTAACTGTCTTAACTTCAGGCTACATGTGGTCTTGAAGAAGAGGTATTTTGCATGAATCTCACTACTTTCAATCACATACAGAATCAATTAAAACTGGAGCAATTTATTTTAAGAAGTTAATGGAGTTCACTTGGACAATTTCGGAAAAATATCTACATATACTTCTCCTAAATATTAGCTCTTAAAGAAACACTTGCAACTATGCTATTAGGCAATATTTAAAAAAAGTTCGATGTTATTTGACAACCTATTATAAAGAGCTAAACATGCTGCGTACACATCTGAGCAGAACACCATAGATTGGCCAAAACCGCGCGAAATTGTAACATATAGCGCGGGGGCCGATCAAAACCACCCCCTAGAGGGATATTCCGTAATCCGAATATTTGTCAGTTGCTTAAATTAATTTAATGTCTGTGGTACCATTAGAAGAAACTTGTACTTAATATAAACGGATTTAGTCACGGTTCAAACAGCGCACCCAAACGTTTGTATAAAAAATATTTTCTCCAAATAAACATTGCTAGAACTTTTTCAAGAATATGACACTCGCTGAGGAACTTGTTTAGCAGATAAATAGAGGCAAGACACTTACTCTGACTGCATCTATGTGGGGTTTTATCCAGCCATTCTTATCGAGATCTAAAATATGGACAAATTTAATCGGTGCAACATCAGGAGGAAAGGCAATTTTCCGAACTCTGTCCAATATTTTAGTATTTTCTTCATTCCATTGCAGTCTCTCTGTTTCCCTATAACCGTGGATTGCCTACAATATAAAGGTGGTGCAATAATAAATTGATGCACGTTTATCGATGTGTTACATCATCCCAATGGTCAAACTCATATCGCAATTTATTCATGTAAGGGTCCAACTCATTCATAAGACAGGTTTCCTCTGCTTCACTTAAAAAGTTATTGAGCACCTTTATGGTATTTATTATATCTTCTGCTGCAGTTTGATTTTGCTGCAATTCTTCAGAGAGCGTGAAGTAAGAAGGCACTGGTAGGGATTCTAGAAGCAGCCAACATATATTATGTATGGTCATGCCAGTCAAAATTTTCATTTCACTTACCATTATTCAAAATTTGAATTTTCGAACTTAACCTTCTGATAACCTGAAGTTTTGATACTTTTGGAACACCTTTTAAGCCAGTTAAGATCATTTGGTGGTTTAATACTATTCAACAGGCAATATAAACGTCCAAAAAATTATTTCACTGAATACATTTGAAGGAACTTTAAATAATAAATAAAAATAATGATATTAGGATTAGACAGAAACTACTCCTGTGTGAAACAACCTTTTGTCATTGCAAGCCGGTAAAATCGACATCGACATTATCAAGTTGTGGGATCAATTATTATCCATGTTAGCTCTAATTTTATTTTCCTTCATAATTAATCTTAACTTATTCAACAAATTAATTAATATTTTGTTTCACATTCACATCAGCGTTAAAAACTGAAACAACAAGAATGCATAACCTCACTAACAGTTTGGTCTGAAGTTCGAATGTGTCAATTTCTGGATATTTATTTGTGTGCGAAAATATAATTGGATTTTCCAAAAAAGCGTAAATATCGTGGGTATTAATATCAACAGTTAAAATGATATCAACGGATGACGGGGAATTTTACCCAGGTAAGCTTTTCTACGGGCTATTTACGTGGTTCCGATGGTTGCTCAACGTCCTCCAATTTTCGGTTATAAAATATATACTTACTACACTTTACTTAATTAAGAGGCACTAGAGTACTGAAGACAGTGTACAAAAGCTCCAATTCAGGTTCTTACGCTGGGAATAAGAGATAAGCTAGTCAGCTTTAATATGGTGTCTGTTCCCGAAGATTAAGCGCACCCATCAAACTAGTGGCAGTTGATCGAGTAAAATAGATATAACGAATCCTGGGCAAAATGCAGCTACTTCTACTACTACATATGTAATCTAGAGTTTAACAGCAAAAAATGTAGCAAAGGGAAGCCCAGTCAGCCCTATCACAGCGAATTTCTATATTGAAAAATTCAAGGATGCCCCTTGCGATATGCATGAGACTTTCGTGATATGGAAACACGGACGAGAGAACCTAGATAAGAAAGTTCCTAGACCATATGAAAAAGCAACATCCAGGCATACAATATAACACAATTTGCTATGAAAAAAGACAATTTTTTTGCTAAACCGTAGCAAGTCTTTAGGAAAAATTTAATTATACCAGATTTATCAAACTCGAATGAACAGATATTAAATTAGGAACGAATATTATCTACAAAAGTTAAACAGTGAATTCAATGACGTTACGTGATTCAGCATTTGTAAAAAAATCGTTACAAATTCGAGATTTTGGCGTGTTTTTAATAATAATAAAATTTGCGCAAATATTTTTTCCGAACTTATCTGAAGAGATATTTTAAAATAAGTATCACATTATTCGTGTTTGAAACTATTTTTACTATCTAGAAAATTATACTATCAAATCTAGAATTCAACCTTTCGTTTAAGAAAAAAAATAAGTTGATGGTGTGCCGAAAACAAAACATTGAATTTCAGGTCTGATAATATAATCTCGTAGATACGTAAAARATGTTCTAATAATCTGACAATTATTTTAAAATATCCCCAAATAAGATCAGAAAAAATCCTACCAAATAATTTAAGCTGCTGATCTCTTACTCCAATGCTGGTCAAATGACCTCACTTCACTGTGAATTTTGCAACATCCACTTCTTCAAAAGCATGACGTAAATACAAATTTTTTTTGTATGGGCTAGAATAATTCATCTACACAATATCGCTGATAAACTCGTTTTAATCTATGTTATAACAACAGATCTAATGCATTTAGTTGCTAACATAAAATAAAAAGCAGTCGAGACTATTAGTAAACATTTTCAACTCACCTGAAATCTAAATAATGCTGATTATAGAACACACAATAATTCCCCAAACGACTCTCAGCAGGGTGTCCCAACGATAGACTAAAGTAAGATTAGGCTTTGCCGGTATTACTTCGTTCGAATGTAAATGTTGCATAAGTTGACATTACAGGGTGATCGTAATATACATTTAAATTAAATAATACCGTTTAATTGTAAACTAACTTTGTTCTATATTTGCGACACCCTGTACAAGCGACTGGAAAATAGGGTGCGTATAACATAAGCTGATACAATGGGGGTAGGCGTTACCGAACGTCTCATAACGTTTGTATAATGTTTTCAGTAAAATTTATAAGCATTGATAATTATGTCTAACTCCCCGCTAGAAAATCTTTGAAAGAAATGTCAATATTCATTGCTAAAATGTCTTTCGAACAGGCAAAAATTAATATAAAATCTAGAAATTATCATTTAAAAAATACACATATTCTGGAATTTGATAATTTCGCAGTCTTAAGTTCAGAATAAAGTATATAAACATTTTGCTATCAGAAAAATGTTTTTTGACATCCAGTTTGTTTAAGCAATCAAATCTACATGTTCAACTAAATGAAAAGAAAGGTGTACGTCACAGGACTCTCGACAGAAGTGATAACTTCATATTATTAATAGAAACCATAAGATATTGTTAACAATATGTGTTTCTGACGAAAGCAGTTCAGACGCAACCGCATCCAAAGGACACCAGCCGACAGACTACACACTATGATATTACTTGGGCAACTGGTACTAACAGGAGCAAAGAAAACGAG